TCACAATTTAAGTAAAATAATGCTCCACCCAAACCAAATAGTGGCAGCTCTCCTTGGGAGAGTGTGATTCGGGGATGCCTCTTTAAGTCTGTTACATTGATGTGGCCAAACCAACCACTGGACTAAAATCCACGTTCCTCTACCCTTGGGCCTAACTTTAACCTGAGTGAATTTGAAGGAATCAGCCTTCCAAGTTGATGATTCTTGTCAATGAGCCTTTTACAAACCTACTCTCCTGAAATCTTAAAGTTCTCTTTAAAGAAGGTAATAACAGCCTTTCAAAGCACCTAACCACGCTCTCTGTGGACGGCTCCAGGATTCCTGAAACATTATTCACAATACGTTCTTACTCCAATATGTACACAGCCCCAGCCCATTCTTTGCACTGATAGTAAAAGTAAAGTTGAAACTTAGAAAAGTGTCCTTTCCCAAATTATAACATACATAATGCTATATGCACATAACATACTGCATTCTTCTTCAGTATTCGTTGGTCAACTGAAAATGACAAAGCCTGTTATCACCAGATCTGGTTTCCTCCTATTCATATTCTGAGGATGACTTGAATGGATTATCTACTTCAAATCTAAAGCAAATGCATTATTTTTTCATGCTTTGTTATATGTGCTCTATTCTCAGTGTGAAATACTTCAAACTGGACACAAGTATTTATTATGAATAAAACATATTTAAGATTTTGTATAACTTTATCTGAAAATGTACACATAACTATTAGAAAAATGTATGATGTTCAAACAATGGCTCCCAAATTTCATGCTTTGTAAAAATAAATATTATGCCTTTCCAATCACATCATTTCCTATTATTCTTCACACAATTTCTTTAGTTCTCTATCTGCATACTGGCAACCTTAATTAAATGAAAAATTTAACTTTTAATTTCATCAAGTCATTTCATGATACTCTGGGATTTTTTTCATCACAAAATTTAATATTCCACAGTTCATAATCTGACTCTACTAAAGAACTGTGGTTGTTCTTCCACATTTCTGATTAATTTCATCTGACAGTCTAACAATATAGGTTATGATAACCAGGTCCACTATAAAGTGTTGTTGATCTAGAAATGCTGTTTGAATGGAATCTGGAACATTTGACTTCTTATTAAACAAAATATGAGACCATGAAATAATTTAAACCAATCTATCATTATTTGGCTCTAAATTACTAGGTATTCTCTACTTTGAAATATCTAACCCATACAATTTGTTATCAAATTATTGGGATAATTTTACTATCATTTAGATACATGAAAATTTGTAATCCAATTCCCTAAATTGTGCTCAAAAAGAACAATCATAAAACTTTATTTAATAATTTTGGCAAAGGCCATGAATTGACATTACAAGCATACTCTATAGAGGATAGGAAAGGCAGGAAAATAGTAAATCACATATTTCTGTAGATACAATATGTGTGTATGCTGTATTTTCTTGGTTAATGAGAAATAATTTGAGCTTCAAAATTACACAAAATTTCTGAGGCTGACTCTTCTGTATCATATCTTATACCAAGATGGGAATGAAACATGGAGAACCTGCTGATTTTAACTTGAAGAAATAGCACTGTTGTTTTGTGCATCATTGAAGAGTATTCTTGGGTTTTGACTGAAACATGCATGTTAAACATAAATTTAATTATAATTGGTACTAATTTGTATTTATTTGATTATGAAGACTATATCATGAGGAATCATGTGTATTTCTCCAATATTGTAAAAATGAATAGATTTTAACTTATATGTGTTTAGGTTATTTTTGGTTATCACACCAATCTACATAAACTAACTTAATGTTGCAAATTTTATAGTTGGTAAGCAGAGAAATTAACCTTTAGACAGAAAGCAGAAAGAGGCTATCTGATAAGATAATTTTCTCTGAATATAAATTGATATAATGAAAACATTGACTTTGTTAAAATGATGCTCTAGAAACCCTACAAAAGGTAGTCTCTGTATAGTGGGTCCACAAACTCAATACAAAAAGAGAAAAACAAAGCAAAAGGAATTCCCAGAGTGGACAGAAAATGCTATTTTCTCAGGTTGTTATGCAACTGGGGTGACTGGCAAGCAGTGAAAGTGTGGCCAAAACATCATGCTGGATCCCAAGAGGAGCTGTTTCCAGTGACACCTGCTGTTGTATGGTGCAGATCTCCTGAGCTCAGCTCCTGAATTGTGGGGATACAGAGGCATTTATGATGTGCTATGGACATCATAGTAAAACCTAGATCTGAGATATGGAGGTGTTGGATAACTTCCCATTCTTGATGGTATTTGGGGGAATTATGCACATATAGAATAATCTCTACACTAATTCTGATTTCTTTTTAAGAATATATTTCAAAGGAGTTAAAGTTAGAGGTATCTAAAATAAAAAAATGTACCTTAATTTATGTAGATGTTAAGAGAATAACTATGTTAATATTTCATAATTTTTCTTTACTTGCAAAAGTGTTATGATTAAAGATTGTTTATATAATGTATGAGATATTATTACTGTAAGGAATAAAAATTGACCTAAGTGACTGTTATTATTAATATACTTTCATGGATATTTAAAAATAAAAAAATAGATAATAGTCAATAAAGTGAGATCTATAGAATTACAAAGAGATCTGGCTAATAAAGCTAATATACCGTTCCCAAGATGCTTCTATTGTATTTTGTTGCTTAGACAATCCAAGAAGAAAATCAAATTAGCTACTACAAGAACAAGAATGAATACAAACTGATTAAAACTTGAATGGACTCTTCTTCCAAGATGATGTATGAATGGCCAAGAAACACATGAAAATAAGTTGGACATCACTAATTTCACTGAAAAGCAAACCAAAACCACACTATCACCTCACATTCATTACAATGGCTACTTTGTAAATAAAGTAAATTGAAAAGCAGGGCCTGGATGTGGAGAAAATGGAACTCCTGTGCATTGCTAGTTGAAATGCAATCTGGTACAGCCCATGTGCAAAACTATATGGAGGTTATTCAAAAGAATAAAAATTAATCTCTATGGTTCAGTATCCACACTACTGTGTATAGATGTAAAAGAATTGAAAGTAGAATCTCAGAGACATTAGCAAACCTATGTTTACAGCAGCACTATTCTTAACAGCCAAAAAGTGCATGCAACCTGTGTATCCACTGACAGATGGAAGGATAAACAGAGCACAGTATAAACATGCACAGAACCCTGTTCACCCCTAATAAAAAAGAAATCTTGTCATATGCCACAACATGGAACAACCTCGAGGACATTATGATATGTGAAATAAAGCAGTCAGAAAAGCACAAATGCACAAATACTGTATGGTTCCACGTATGCATCCACAGTTGTGAAATTCCGAGAAACAGATAGTGAAATGGGGGGCTGTAGGAACTGAGGGAAGGGCACTGGGGCAGTGTGGTGCCCGTGTACAGTTCCAGTTCCACAAGATGCCAAGTCCTGGAGACTGCCAACAGTAAGGACACACCATCACTACTGGGGCTGCATCCTTGAGATGGTCAGTTGGGAAATGTTATGCTGTATTGTAGCACAATATTTTAAAACATTAAAGAACTATCATAATAAATATAAAAGTGTTTAGAAACAGTCACTAGAGGAAAGAACTTTGCTTTTCTCCTTTATGAGGATATTATTTTTCTTTATGTGTCAGAACATTGTATTTTAAAATAATTAAGTAAAAGGTAGCACACAATAATCATGAGTACTTTAATAGTGCAAAATAAACAAGTAAGAAGAAATAATAATAACTTCAAAGTGACAAGTCTTTTCTTACCTCCTTATCTCTCCCTCTTTCTGTCTCCCTCTGTCTGTGCATGCACACACACATAATCACACACACACCCACACTTGGAGTAACCTACATTTTTAACATTGCATTATGATTACTAATCTCTAGCCACTAATATATTTAATAACAATAATCTGCTTTATGCAAATTGGTATAATTTATTTAACAAAACTCTTTTAGACAATTTCCATTTTTTATTATGAATATTGCAGTACAAAAGTGTGTGTTTCTGTGCATCATTATTAAATGTGCAGTTACTTACACATATATATGGGAAGAATTTTTTAGACTGATATATTGTTTAGCCTTTGGCTCATTTAATGCCAAGATTGCTTGGCATTAAATGAGCCAAAGGCTAAACAATATATCAGTCCAAAGTCAAGGAGTTAGGGGGGTAGGGAATTGGTAAGATCACTATAACTGAAAGTGTTTTGTAATTGGTAAGATCACTATGAATGAAAGTGTTTTGAGGGCAGAGCTGACAGGGAGACACATATGGGCCTACACAGGTTGTGTGCGTGTGTGTGTGTGTGTGTGTGTGTGTGTGGAAGTGTATGTGAGCATGCGCATAAAGGAACAAACTTTACTTCAGTTGCATTATTTCTTACAGTTCTACTATATTTCTGTTCCCAAAACATATCTTGAATTTCTTTGTCAAAATTAAACCAGAAGAAAATGCCAGAAGAGAATGATATGCACTTAGTCTAGAACCTGGTCCATGGAGGAGCTATTTTGCTCCTGCTTACCTACCTACTTTCTTACTACAAATGACTACTTACTTTCCAAAGAGGTTAATACTATAGTCATCAGAACCCATTGATGCAATTGTGTTATCGCTAATGGGGGAAAAAAGCAGCAAATATGCTGAACATTGGGTTTAACATCTTGATCCAATTATTCCACTGCATGAGAAAAAGCTCAGACATTTGCTGTTTTATTCCAACGTGTTGGGTGTGGGGAAAGCTCTGCACTGGGCGGGAAGCTTCTCTGGGATTCACATTCCAGACTAAAGAAAAAGGACATATGAAGAGACAATTCCCTTGACACCTTAGTGTAAATAACCTGCTTTGCTGAGTTTCAAGATAGGACTACAAGCTCATAAATCAGTAGGCATCACTAGATCACCCTCATTGGAAGATAAGGAATGGTCTTAATTTTGTAAAGGCCAAGAGTGTTTTTCTAAGCATTCCACAGAAGACTTAAATTTTTAGATATGATCACATATAGAGTGAGGAATCATGTATAACCTCATTCTTGGCACAACTTGGTACTTGCCTGGATATTCAAAGGCATACAGCTGAATTTTTCTTTAATGACTTGAAACATCAATTTTTTATTTTAGTAAATTTATAAGTTCGTCCTTATCCAACAGTCGAGATTTCAGCTTTTCTGGTATGGAAAACAAATATGCATTGGCCTAGTTCAGATGTCCTATATTATGAAATCTGTAAAAGAGAAAATTATGAAAGTTGATTTTTTTACCTGAGCTTTTACATTGGTAACTCTGTGTTTCTTTTGATGTTGAATTACAGTTTCAAAAGTTACAAGCTTTTTTAGAATCAGAGGTACTATAATTTAGGAAAGATCAATCAATTTTTTGTGGAATTATATGTTAATGTCAGGTTAGCCTTTTTGAATTTGACTTTAGCAGAAACACTACCAAACTGAATCATAAGGAAAACAAAACATACAGATTCCTCAAAATAAATAATGACAGTATTCAAATGTTGTTGGAAGGGCTCATGAAATCTTTAGCTCTTCCTTTATCAAATGGTCACTTGAGATATTCAGAGCAGCTCTGTGAAGGAGGCTCCAGGTGGGGAAGGGAAAATCTTGCTTCAGTGTGTGCCTTTTAATCACACACATCTGCATATCTGTGATGCTTTGTCCAAATATGGACAGGACAACTGATGTTGATGTGAATGTATAGTATTCTTGCAATATTTATTATAAACAACAAAATAGTTGTAAGAACTGGAAGTCAGGAGAAGAAAACTAGTATTAGAAATGAACCCAGAGGAATAAAAAAGTGCTTTTAAAAATGTGTGCCTTAGTTCATCATAGTTACACAAGGCACAAGAGTTCTCTGTGACATAACCAACAGGCATGGGGTATAACCTGCTCCACTTCAGTCCCCACTGCTTCCCCCTTACTCCCTTGTTCCCTTCCTCTGTTCTCCTTCTACTTACTTATTGTGTTGTATTGGTACTTTATATAGGCTGGACTCCCTGTGCTATACTCATATTTGTCAACAGCACAGTTTGGTCAATCTCATGCTGCAGTCCCTTCCTTTCCCTGAATCCCCTTCCTCTGCTCCGCGATATTCCTTCTATTTTCATGGGATTCCTCCCTTTACTTTTTCCATTACTTTGCTCTAACTTCCACATAAGAGAGAAGATATTCAGCCCTTGGCCGCTTAGCCAGGCTTATCTCCTTCAGTGTGCTGTTCAGAGAAGACCTGTCAGGGACACAGTGACGCCTGTAATCAAGTTATGCATGAAGCGACTTCAGACAAGTTCACACCTATGGTATTTGATTGTGGAAATTATTTTGGAGATATTTCCTTAACTATTTCAAATCCACACATTAAATGTTTACTTCTAAGCTTTTTTTTTCTTTTTTTCCCCCCTAAGAATTACATATAATCTTGAATTTCAATGGTGGTAACCATTGTAAGTCACCTTAATTAGTCACTTATAAAATAACTTTTCTGCAACTGATATTTCAGCAATGGTCCCATGATCTGGAGATGCATGATGAATAAAAGCACAGTTGCTGCCTCTTGGAGCTTCTAGTCTAGGAAGGAAAAAGACAGCAACCCACGTGCACTCACATCCACAGCAGGGAAGACAGGAGGATGCCTGTCCAGGAGGAGCACGTGATCTTGTCTGGAGGCAGCCTAACAATTTCCCGAAGCCACAGCACTGAAGGGCCATTCCACATAAGGTGTGATAAACATCCAGGCAGAGCGGGGAAGGGCCAAGAGAGACAAGGCAGTGTGCAAAGGGGACAGGGTCAAAAAAAATCTAGTTTTAGTGTGAAAAAAAAATCAGCACGTCTAAGCTTGCATGTGAAGAAGAGGATGGGAAATGAAGTTGGAAAAGACAGTAGGAGCCTTGAGATGAAGGGCCACCTACCCTCATTAAAATATTTAAGAGGGATCCCAGTTTAGAAATGCCATACAGCTGGAAGGTGGAAAACGGGTTACAAGTATGAAGATGTGGGAAAAAAAATCACACTTATTCTTACAAGGCATGACATTAGCCTAGTCTGCCATGGGCACACAGCAAGAAAACTGATGGGTCAGAACTGTGTCCCAGGTGAAAGGTGACAAAACTGATGATGGATAAAGCTTGGAGCAAGGAATAGAACAGTTTCTGGGGTTTGGACTTGGGCCCTTTCACCAATGGTGACATTCGAGATGTAACAAATACTACAGAAGAAATGAGCCATTACTTTAATATCTGAATATATCTTCTTTGAGCCACTGGCCAAATGTATATGACACATCTATTCCAAGTGTAAAGGCACGAGTCATGTCTCGTGATCACAAATGGAGTGAAGTATTATCTGGATTCTGGGGGAGGCAGGAGGTGTGATCTACATGGAAGATGCACCATCCTACATTTTCCAGAGCTGCCCCACAGTGAGAGGTAATCACACACTTGTCCAAGTGCACCACTTAGCTCTTGAAAGCTGCATGGAGCTTCACCACCTCAGGGCCACTCCTTACCCTCCACACAGGCAGGTCTGGTTCTCAGCTAAGCACATCTTTCTTCTAAGTCCAAGTCTATAGCTTGGAAATACCTACTGCACTTAAATTTTCAGTCCCAATTCTATAGCCTCAGTGCTAGAGTGGGAATAGATGATTTACAAGTATGGTCCAGATCCAACATTTTATAATTTGGTGACTTATAACAAAAAGGTATTATTTTCTTAAAGTTTTAACGTTTTCACATTTACAAAAAATATTTCTAACACTGATTTATTATTTTTTTTCTTAAAGAGAGTGAGAGAGGAGAGAGAGAGAGAGAGAAAGAATTTTTTTAATATTTATTTTTAAGTTCTCGGCGGACACAACATCTTTGTTTGTATGTGGTGCTGAGGATCGAACCCGGGCCGCACGCACACCAGGCGAGCGTGCTACCGCTTGAGCCACATCCCCAGCCCTGATTTATTATTTTTAAAATTAAGTCTAATATTGATTTGGTCTTATAGTATTATTCAATATCACATTTTTAGTGGCAATTTTTTTCTTTATATAATTGTTGCAATTTTTGTTTGAATTACTTATAATTGACCAACAGCTGAAATTTATTACTTAATATGTAATAGTTATAAATAATTATTCCTATGTACCGTTCAAAGTTGCCCTTTTGTAATATTTTAAAACATTTCAAAATTGCTTCTGTAATGAACTACTAAGTTACCCTAGTTATTCAAAATTAATGAAGTATTTTACTTAATATTTCTTATTTAATACTCATATAAATTTTAAGGTATACATTATAACATCTATGCATTAGGCAGCTTTTCATAACTGTGACTAAATTATCCAACAAAATCAACATGGAGGAGGTAAATGTATTTTGGCTCATGGTTCCAGAAGTTTAGTACATGGTTGTCCAAATGCATTGCTCTGGCCCAAGGTGAGGCAGCACATCAGGGCACAAAGGCACAGTGGAGATGTGCTACTCCATTCATGGTAGCCAGTGAGCAGAAAGGCAAGGGAAAGGGACCACAGGAAGATGCACCCTTCCAGGGTATACCTCCCATGACCCATCTTTACTAGTCACATCCCACCTCCCCACAGTTACTACCCAGTCCATTCAAACTAGGATGAAATGATTGGATTACAGCTCTCACACTCCAATCATTTCACCTTCAAACATTCCTGAATTACCACAGGAGCTTTTGGGGAATACCTCATATCTAAACCACAACATTATGTTTACTTATTTTATATTTAATGAAAAAAATATGGAAACAATCATTTTCCTGTATTAAATTATTTTAAATTATGTTTTCAAATTGTTCATGAATCTCTAAATTGCTTTAGGAACACATATTTGGAAACACTTTGAAATTAATTCATACATTTTTTTAACATTCTAATTTCTATGATGCTATATTTTTTTGCGATTTTTCCATTCTAAAATGACTTTAATAATAAAATATCATTTAGGGGAGTGTTTGTTTTAAATGAAGTATTTTACTTTAGGTGATTAATATTTTCTGTGACATACCCATTCAACATTCAGTAATCACTGAGACCAACATATATTATTACTTAATATTTTATATTAATGACACATGGCAAGGCATTGCATCAATCATTAGAATTCACTAGAACATTACATTACACAATGAACTCTCCTTAAATTAATTCTGAAAGTAAGCCAATGGGGTTAAGTTTATGAGTAAACTGGACTGGCAATAAGATCCCCAGATTTAAGGTTGTTTCTGGGTATGCCTAAGAGGGTGTTTCTTGATGACATTAGCATCTGATTCAATGTACTCAGTGGACAGACAGCTGCCTCACTGTGATTGGGCATCACCTGAAACAGGGAGAGTCTAAATAGAATAAAAGAGAGAGGAAGAAAGAGCTTTTTGTTTTCCTGCCTCAACACTTAAACTGGGCCAGTTCATCTCATCTCCCCTCAAACTCAGAGTCACATCACCAGCTCTTGGGCCCACAGGCCTCAGACAGACTGAACCACCATCCTGGCTCTCTGGAGTTTCTGGCCTCTGACCACAAATGAAGGAACTTTCAGATTCATCACAATTGCAAGGCCAAGTCCTCATAATAAACCTCCACACTTATTTCTTCATGGGTTTGTTTCTCTGAAGAACCCTCACTAATACATTGAATAATTCTATTATGTTAGGAAAAATAAATAAAGGTCAAAAATAAAGAAAAATATTGTCCAACACGGCAATTTTTAAAATTACTTTGTTTTACTGTTTCATATCTAACTATTGAGGGTTGATAAAGATAAAAATTTTACATTCATTTTAATATATTTTGCAAATTAGAAGTCACTGTCAATTGAAAAATTTTGTATACTATGTGTGTCTCCTTTCTTGTGAACTTACAAAATTTATAATTATACTTATCAAATTTCAAAATAATATAAAAGTCAAGTTACAGTAGTAGAATATAGACTAGAAAAAGTTTCATCATTTCATACTTCTTTTGTAATAAATTAAGTCAAACTGGCTTATTGAGAGGACTACTTTAGTAAAATCAAAATGTTGGTACCGCCTTTTAATCAATGTTTAGTCCTTTGAATTAATATAAACATACATTTTCACCTCATATGGCATTATTAAATTTCAACCTATGTGTTAGTGTGACACATACCTTAATAGAACACACTTTTGCCTTTCTGGAGAGTTAATCATTTGAAACATGCAATCAGTTTTCATATCAGTACAACCCAGATGTCTAAATATTTATTCAGTTAATGACACAATCTTATTTGGAATGATCACATGCTCATTGAAAAAAAGAGCTGGATATTCAAAGATGAATTATGATTATGAAGAGTGTTTCATAAATTCTCAGCACACACTCTGCATGAATGAATAGATACATATATATAATAGATACTCATAAATGACAAAACTAAAACACAAGGCTTGGCCTGGGGATGTGGCTCAAGTGGTAGTGCGCTCGTGCTCCTCTGGCATGCACGGGGTGCTGGGTTCGATCCTCAGGACCACATAAAAATAAAACAAAGATGTTGTGCCCACCGAAAACTGAAAAATAAATATTAGGCTGAATCAACATGCTGGCTCTCTCTAAACAAAAAAATTTTTTCTCTCTCTCTATCTCTCTAAAAAAATTAAAATTAAAACACAAGGCTAGATATTAATCAAGTTTCACTTTATATTTTGATTGCAAAAAGACTATTAAAATATAAAAACTTCATTGTCTCAAAGGTTGGCATTATTTGAATAATGTAAACTCACAAAATTAGTTATAAATTTTCCATTAAAATCACTATATTCTGAGAAAATAGAAGACTCTTGAACTATAGATTATTAAAATATATTAATCAGTTTCTCAAATAAGTGATCACTTTATTCTAATATAGAAGGGGACAAGAAAGAAAAAGAATTAGCAGATTATCCATATTAAGGATAGGTGTCTAACAGACCCTAAATTTTGAGTAAAACTAAATGTTTATAAATACGTACTTTAAATCAAGTGAAAATTGTCAAATAAAATTTATTTAATACTTTGCCCTGATGAATACACCTTCCCAACCACCTGGAATGGCAGAGTTGAGCTCACAGGTCTTGGAAACCTTGTCTGGCTGTGTCTGAATCTGCTAAATGAGAGGAGGTGTGCTCAGCCCACAGCCTGGTCCCTTCCCATCCCACCCCTGCCTTATATTCCAAGGGACCTCATGTTCACAACAGCCAGGATTCTGGGCCACTGGGCAAATCCTTCTAAATCCCTGACTACCTGGAACACAGTCAAGAGGGGGACCTGTAGCCTATGGGTGGTTGTATTTTTCAGGCTTAACAGACTCTTCAGGGCATGGCCCCTGTGCCCTGACCTAAAGATGGTGATATTGGCAAATTTTCTAGCAATTAGCTCTCCTAAAAACACTAACGTACTTATATTTGGGGATTCTGTTCTCCACTTAAGTAATCACTTTAAACTGCTCTTTTTGCCCAAGATCTAAGAACACACAAATAACTCACCCTGCCATAGGATTATTTCAGCTACAACCAGGTAAACAAATTAGGTCCATTATAGTACAGAAATACCAATGTGCAAGAGCTATCTGGAAGACATAATTTTTAATCATATGAAGAAAATATAAGAAAAAGATGCCAGTGTGTGGAAGAGAGCAAGGAAGGAGATGGGAAGTCCCAAGTAAGGTCCCTGGTTAGGACTGAGCCAAGCCAGAGGCAATGGTTTCCTTCAAGGCAGAAGAACTCTAAAGTGCAACCCCCTTGAGGTATTCAGGTCCATAAATTATGTGGACATTATCTCAAAAGAATGAGAAGTGCAAAAACAGCCACCAACCTACTGGAGAATAGGATCCTCTTCACCCTAAATGAGAATGTCATTTATTATCCTCCAGTCTGACAGCAGCTTGTTTCTTAATACGGTGACAGATTTTTAGTCTCTAACCTGTGAGTGTTGCGGACCCCTGTGAGTGCCAGAGGCCATATGGTGCTCCTCTGTAGTCATATGGAAAACCAGCTGGGCTGCCCAAAGATTTATGATCAATTATCCATGCTCAAAGGCCATACTCCCATTGAATAATAGTTCTTTCTGTTCAGTAAGGGAAATAACCACCTATGGTTGAGTTCCTTTGTCAATAGAAAACATTATTAACTCAAGTAACAAAAGTTTATACTCAAAATGAACCTTAATTTATAATAAAATCAATAAATATTTTTAAAGAAGTTTCAATCATCTAATACAAAATACATTCACAGAAACACATACACTGAATACACAGTCACATCCATATACACAAAAACTATGAAACTTTCTGAATGATTTAAGAAAATACAGCAGTAATAATTATGTATAAAAACCATGATTATTTTAAAAATTGCTTTTCTCCTAAGTTGGCCCTACTGGGAAGATTTTTCATGACTCTAATTCTCAACTGTGTCTTGTCACTATTCAATCCTCCATTGTTCTCTCTAGTCTGGTGGCTGAATGCTTTGGGGAAACACTGAATTCTCTTTGGATTCTGCTTGATGTAAATATGACTTTGCTTATTGATAAAATTTTCATGTTCATTTTTTTCTTTTGGTCAGAACACATGTTTTATATCTCCCTGATACAGGAAGAATTTGAGGAAAAATCTCTATAAACTATTTTTACTAGTTTAAAATTCTTATCCATTAGCATTTTATTTTCAATATTGATTTTTTAGAAAAGAATTGTCCTTTGGTACAAAGAAAAGAATACTGTAGTTACTTGCCTAGAAGGGAAACACCTAAAATGATGGAAAAAATTGAATGAGATAAAGACTGAATTAGAAACGAGGCCATTACCATCTACTTTCTTTAGGATGAACATCTAGGATCAAAATATAAGTCTTTATCTGTTACATTGATCAAATACATTTGAATATTTGATAGAGTATAATAAGCTCAGTACAGTCAAGTATCTGATTTTTTTATCACTATGAATTAATCGTATGCAGGCTCTATTAATACTGTATTAAATCTCAGCTGATTGTTTTCATATTGCAAATTCAGATTTGTTTGTTTTATTCTTATAAAGTGTCTCTAAAGGTTTACTTAATTATGACTTATTGGAAAAGCTTAACTCATTATAATATGGATGTGATTATTTTTAAAAAAATCTCAAGTAATTATTTACTATTTGTGACTTGTCTATTTAAAAATAAAGCAATCTGACAGATTATGAGTAGCTTAAATTTTGTTATATTTTACTGTTATAACAAGAGTCAGAACTTGAATTTTGATAATCTCATTCAAATTAATATATTTTAGTTATATACTGGCTATATTTTGAGGTCATATTCTATTTTTATATATTTATATTCTATTTTTATTCATATCAACATACTACTTTCTTTTTGAGGAATGAGTAATATACCCAAAATATTTGAACATAGAAAAATATTATCTTTCACAAAAGTAATATGTAAAAGTATTAAATTCACTATAAAAGACCTATTTGTTTTCCATAAGAGGTAAAAGATTGAGAAATGAGGATCTTTAAGATATATGCATAGAAATTAGATATTCCTAATACATATAATGTGTAATCAAATTTATCAAAGTATATGGAAATTCAACTAGGATATTCTTTTAGTCACTATTTAAAATGTTTAAAGAGTTTTCCAGAATCTTCCATTTTTTTATACAAGGGAAACTTTTATCTAAAAACTTACATTAGAAAAGGACTTAACTAGGAAAAAAAAAAACATTACTGAGTTTCTTCCTCCATTGTCTGATTTATTTGTTCTCTTATTATGTGTGGATTGGAGAAGGTTACTAGATTGGAAAGAGAAGAAAAATTGAAAGATTGAACACCAGAAAATTATTGATAGAATTATTAATCTGTTAGGACAGGGATGCCCTTTTTAAAATCCCAAAGCTTCCCTAAGTGCATTTGTTATTATCAAAAGAACTCCTGAGCTGTGAAAATCTATGCTACGTTGAATTACAATAGCAGAATTCTTCTCCTGGAAGATCTATGTGCAAATAGATCATATAATAACTTCAGTGAATAAATAGTAAGATTGTCTTCTGAATTTAACTTATAGCAATATATCTACATGTAGGCAAACATTTCAAGTCAAAAGGGGGATCATGAACATTGATTATGATCTGTAAAAATTTTGAAATGTCTATGCTTAAAATTAAATGACTCATTTAATGAGGAAAATATAATTTGTCTTTGACCTTTAAATTTACAGAATGATGCAATTCTATTTTAAGTGTGTTTGTAAGCTTTAATTTGGAAAAGTTTTAGTGTTCATTTTAATTGCTGTTAGGTCAAATCAATGAAACAAGTAAAAAAATAAATCAGTCCTGGAGGTACGTAGACATTATAAAAATAATGCCTAAAATTATACTAAGTATGAATATTTTTAAAACTCCAAAATACAATTAGGAAAGATGAAAATGATCTTTTAAGCTTATATCTATTTACACTCTTTTAGTAAAATCAGACATAATGAGCTCCCTGTAGTCATTAAAAAATATGAGAGGTGATTTAATTGTTTTGGGGGCTCCCAACCTGATGGTGATCCCAGAACTACAGCTCAGACAAAGCATATTTATCATGTACCATAACAAGTGAACCTATAAAACTTATACAGTAAAGTGATATAAATCACCAGGCTGTAAATAATCACTGGACCTCTGGAATTTTAGAATTCCCACTTCTTCAATGAAGCAATATGGATTCTATGAGAATAGCAGGAGAAAAAACATTAATGATTTAGAATAGAGATGACAAACTAGTGGACTGTGAGATTCATGGGTTTTCAAAATTCTAATTTCTTTAATGAATAAAATTAACTCTTTATATGGTTGAAAAACGTATAAGGAGATCTGTTTGGAGGTTGCACAAAGATGGCCTGAAGGATTTGGCTTAAGAATGTAGTATGGTTGCCTTGAATTGATAAAGTTAATTCTCAACTTAGTTGGCAGCATTTAAAAATATGCAGTGTTACTGTGAGAACTTGCTTTCTAACTTAAACTAAAAATGAGATAACCTATTTCAAATGTATGATATGTCAAGGTCATTGTACTGTCATGTGTAACTAATTAAAACAAATTTTAAAAAATGAGATAACATAGTAGACTGAATACCTCATTTACCCATAGTGAGACTATTAAATACCAGGACAGTGTGCATTACTCTTTTGATATAATTCAGACTTCCTCTTCTCAGAGACTTGGGTGTCAGATTTCGTAGGGGACAGCCTGAAAGCCTCCTGGACTTCAGCCTAGGTTTACTCCCTATTGTATTTCTCTGCTGTATTTATGGCAATTATCACTATTGGAAATTTCTTTTTGCTTACTTGTTAATAATCAAATTTTTCTGAAACATAAATTTATGAAAGTGAGTAAATTGTTGGCTGTCATGTTCCCAGGACTGAGAATAGAGGGTGGCAAATGTAGAGGAGTCTAAGTAATGTCCATTAAATGAACATCATGTGGTCAAGTCTATGTTCTTTTTTTCCATGGTGTTTTGATCAGTAAATAAGGTAAAAAATCTGTCTCACAGTTAAAACTCCATCCAAAGCAGGTAATACAACTGACAAAGATCACCATAAATTATTTATACTTGGCTTGCTTCACATTTTATTATACTCACTTTTGAGTTTTTAAGAATATTCATCTTAAAGTGAATAATTTTAACACTGCCATCAGTTAGGAGGTTTTCTATTTATTCTTGATTTGTACAAGTCTGTTCATGGTATATTAGTCTATAAAATACTGATTATTCAATTGATTTTCACACTTTAGTAACTCATAGATTTATCATTTACTGGCTCACATTCATTATAATTTATCTAGAAATTTTTCATTATTATGCTAATTTTACCAAGAGAACTAAAATATGGCTGTCAGAACTGCAACACATATGCTCACTGCCTGGAAATAATACCTATTCATGTTATTTCCTCTGTTACTTCATATAGATCTGTGGCAGAGTTTGCCTGCAGCACAGATTGATACAATGGTTCGCATTCATTAATTTTTATCTATAATTTTATTTCCTTATTAATATTTATTTATTCTGTTAATTTTTCAAAGTGAACTTCATAAAGTAAATCATATCATGGTTTAATAATAATAATAGCTATCAATTTTGTTTCATTTTTTGTAAACAAATATTTGTTAATAGATTTATTTTAATTTGTGTGTTCTAGTTTCTCATTCAGTATAGTAAATAATAGGATTTATAAATATCTACCCAATGCAGGGACTCATGCATGCCAGGAAGGCAATCTACCATGGAGTCACAGCCCAAGCCTCTAGACATTAGCATTGCATTGTGAGGCAGTGTTTCCCTAAACTGCCCAGGCTGGCATCAAACTTGCAGTCCTCCTGCCTCAGTCTCCCATTCTCCAAGGGATTTCTGGTGTGCACCACCACTCCTTGCATAGCTTTTATTTTGACTGTAATTTGTTCCTCCTTCATAATACCCAAAGACAAATCACACTGGAAAAGTGACCTCTTCAATACTGTCCCTTTTCTCAACTGGGATCTAATGCATTTCAAGTAATATCAGGAAAGTTAGAAAAATAAATGGGGACCAGGAAATAAAACAAATAAAATACATAATAAAATGAAAAGATTAACAAATAGAACATTAATAATTACTTTAAACATGAATGGTCTAAATAAAATAGTTGAATGGCAAAAATGGTAGAATGTTTTAAAACTAGGTCAATCTGTGTGATATTTATAATATAGTCACTGCAAATTCAATGACAAGGTAAAGTCAAAGTAAAAAAGTGAAAACAAAAGTATCATGCAAACATTACTAAAAAGAAGAGGAAACATGAGTGGCTCTGTTAATATTAGATAACTTCAGAGCAAATAAAATTCTTAGAGGCAGAGGAACATATGTGACCATCCAACAATCAGTTCATCAAGAAGATGTAATGGATCCAAATGTTTGAGTCCAAAACAACAGCACTTCAATATATGTGAATTGGAAATGATTCAGCAGGAAAGAGAAATAGATAACTATGATTATAATTGGTGATTTGAACTCCCCACTCAGCAGCTGATAAAACAACCATGCAGACAACCTAATCAACACAGATAAACACCCCAAAGTGAATTAGGTACACAAGAAATATTCACCATGACAGGCCAAGACACATAACTACACATTTTAACAAATTAAAAAAGTGAAATCATGCATAATATATCCTGTGAACATATTGAAAATAAATTAAAAACCACAAATAACCTAAGACAACAGGAAAATCCCCAGATTCATAACAATTAAGCTGCATTCTTCTAAAAGTTTCACTGGTCAAGAGGAAGTCTCAAAGAAAGTAGAAAATACATAGAACTAAAATTGAGTAAAAATGGAAATACAAAATAGCAAAATATGGAGATACAAAACTCATCAAGGTAATTATTTTCTTATTTAATCCATCAATATTTAAAAAGTAAAATTATAAACTATGATCTAAGGACATATTCCATATGTGCAAAGTTCATTTACCATTGAAAAATCAATGTGAACCACTACATTAAGAAACTACAAAAGAAAAAACCTTTGATCAGAAAAGGTACTTGAAAAAAATATCAAATACCCATTGATAAAATGTCTCTCTCTGAAAGTAGAAATACCAACAGAACTTGATGAAGAGAATCTGAAAACAGTCTACAACTAGTATCCTATCTAATGCTGGAAGACCAAGGCTTTCTCCCTAACAACAGAATAAGAATGGCTGACTCCACCCTGCTTTTCAACAGAGCACTAGCATTTCTAGTCACTGAAATAAATCAGAGCAAGGAAACAACCCACAAATTAGAAAGAAAGAATAAAACTCTCCACATCATTGTCTACAAATGAAGAAAGAGGTGTCCTCAGGTACCTTGCAGTAGGTCCCCCCTTGGGTGGCATCACCTTGGATTTCAAGATGGACAAAGGAAGTGGGCTGGCATCATACTTCTGAAGAGGGCCTGTAGAAGCATGTAGAAGCATGCGCTGCCACTTGTGCCACTGGAAACCCTTCTGAGGTCAGTGTTTGCCCTCCAGGATCCTGGTCATGGTTGTGCTGAAGTCTGTTGCACACTAGAGCCATTTGTCTGCCGGCCACTTCACTTCTAGGACCATCACTAGCCAAATCCTGGCAGGCTTCTAGGATCTGCACCTCCTGGAGGTCACTGGTGCCAGGCCGACTTCCAGTATCCTACACAGCGGTCTTGGGCCTGCAAAGGACAGTAGACCACTGTTGAAAAGTGTTACCAAAGAGGCCTGTGAAGCTAGCTACAAGATTTCAAAATAAAGATGCTAAAAATAAATCTAATTCCTAGCAAAACCCTGTCTAGGAATTCAGAAATGTTTGTTAAATGACCAAACAAATAAATTGATCACTTCCATCTTCCTCTTCTATTTCTTCATTAAATAAAATCTAAATCTAAAAGGAAATCTCTTGGTGGCTAATCAGGCTAGATGGCAAGATGGGCTTGGCTTGGTTTGCGTTTCAGTAAAACCTTACCCCACTTACTCTTACAGATCCTGGCAAGGCTCCTTTTCTCCCAACATTCCCTGCTTCACTATTGCTATCTGTTTAGGAAACCAGTCCCTGAAAGAATGTTTATAATGAAAAGTGATTAATAACTTCCCCAGAAGGATTAAAGCAGAGTTAATCTAATTTGGACCTGTACCCCGATTCACTGAGTCACATAAAAAGCCAAGACTCAGAGGGGTCTCATCTCCTATTCTTTAACAATCACACACCCTTTCCTTTGCCCCACAAGCTCTTTAGCTAAAGTCTTGGAAATTCATCAGCAATTATCAGCAAAACCCTTTAAAAATAATCCCCTCTCTGAGTACTATCTTACATCCACTTTATTATCCAAAGCAAGTTAACGAAAATGGTCACACTATTTAGCATTAGAATGCTTCCACTGCAACCATCTCAAGTGTGTATGTGTGTGTGTGTGTGTGTGTGTGTATGTGTGTGTGTGTGAAGGTGGAGACATTCTTTCCCAAACTCTTATATAAGCCTGCATATATACATATTGCCCTAACACTTCAACTGCTATCTGTATACATTGAATTTCTATGTGTCTTAAAAGCTCCAGCAATCTGGAATTGAGATGAGAGAATCATGTTTCCACGCTCACTTTTATCTTTTCTGTACTTCAACTTGTCTGAATAAAATGCAGTCACTGAATTCCAACCAGTACCACAAAAGTTACAACTTGAAAGATTTGTATTTCTGTACTTACCAGAATACCTAATTCTTCCCTTTTTTTAATGCCCTCAAAAATTTAACAGTGCTTAAAGAAGGTGAAATTGATATTTTATCTGTAATTTTTACAAATAATCACTATGATATCAAAAAGAAAATATTATTTAATCTGTCATAAGACATCATTCATTTCATATACATTGTGAAATCTATGGAAATGTGATATTTAATTGAATTTCCATTGTTATACAAATGGAAAACTGTCTATTAGAATTGGCAGGGCATAATCAACTGAGGGGTATTTGCTTATTGGCAAGCGCTGTAGGAAACGCCATAAAAACCTCACTAATGTACCTAATACTAGACTACAGGGTATATGTTTCTCCAAGCCATCTGGAAAGCAGTTAATGCCTTGAAGCACAAGAATTGATAGCCCTTTTAATTTTTATCCTTGCTAGTTGTAGATCTTTAAAACACTTCACAACTCCTAAATTTGATATGTCAATGTTCACATCAGAATTAGAAGACTAGACATGGAACCCAGGATCTGAGCTCAAAAGCCAAATCACCACAATCACTCATATTACATATTGTATATTCACTTGTGCTGTAATTTATAGCAAGAGAAAAATAAAACAACATAGAATGAATTTGTGTATTTTAATAAAATATTTATGTGCTGTGTACTATACACACACACATATATAAACAGTTTACATCAGAGTAAATGATTGCTTAGAGCTGAACTCAGGCTATTTAATAGATCTCAAAAGCATATAATATGTAGCAACATGCTTTACTGTGAAATAGGATTCAAAAATAATTGATATTTACAAGATAGTAATATACCCAAGTAGAAAAATGTCAGAAATTTAAATTTTTAAAATATTTTACAAGTTTATAAAATGAAGTTTATAATATAAAATATTTTAAAATATTTAACTTTTGAAACATTCCAATATTTTGAAAGAATAAAGTTAAAATTTTTCCACTGTTAAAAGCATTGGGCACAAGAATGTGCAAATAATTTAGAAAAAAGAAAACTCCTGTACACTAATACAAGTTAATTTGTGTAGGCTTTAAACCATCAAGGAATGCTCCTCTCCTAAATGTTCCTTGAAAGGTGAGGAATATTAAATAAAAAATTTAAAAACATAAGCAGCATGTAAAGCGAGACCAACTTTATTAATGTGTCTTAAAAGTTATTTTCATCTTCTTCAATTTGAATTGTTCAGATCAACAGAACGGCAATGAGAGAGAGAGAATAGAAGCCTGCAACTCCATGGGAGCCAGAAGTAGAAAGAGTGGAGGCTGCGGAGTCCTGGATGAGAGTTCAGGCCTTTCTTACACCTCTCACTACGTGGAATAAAGAAGTACAAGATGTCAAGAAGGACTCTGACAGGGCGAGGCCTGCCAATCAATCATGGGCTATACACTCGCCACTGCCTTTAACAATTCGCAACTTCAACTTCATTCTTGGGGGCGCACAGAATGTAGATTGGACACAGAGGCAGAAGAGCATCTTTAGCAGAAGGTAAGAAGTCATTCATAGCAAATATTCTAAAGTCTCATTATTGGAATTAATATGATGTATTTCAGCATATGTAAGATTTTGTATGCCAATTGTGTGGCAAAACACAGATATTGAAAGAGTTTGTTTCACATTTGGATGCAGCAAGTTCCATTACCCGAAAACACTTACAGAAAAAAAAACAGTTTTCCTATCACATTGCATTGATGAAAATATTTATGAATTATAGTCTGTTAAGGACAATATGCTAAATCTCAAGCTGACTTTTGAACCTGATGTTGCACATCACTGGATGTGCAACACTAAGTACTATGTAATATTTTTATGTTTCACTTTCTGTTTTCTGATATAGAAATTATTACATCTAAAAAATGCACATAAATAGTGAGGTGCACCAAAAGTTTTCAGACTAAAATCCCCATCTTCACTGCTGCTCTCATTACCAGTTGTACTTGTACTACTACTGGTGCACTGCATCCCCGGACATCTGCTTGAAAAATTGTAGCCATTGTGGGTTCAAGATTCTAACAAATAAAACTTGTGTGACTTGATGGCTGAACATTTTTTCTGTTTTCCCTTCTCATTATTGAACTAAAACCTGCCTCCCAACAGTTTGCATTAGTTGTTTTCATCTTTTCTCTTAAGGAAAACCCACTCCACTTCCATTAACCCTTATTCAGATTTATGCAAAGCTGTCCTGCCCCAAGTTTGTTGATTCAGCCTTCCCAAACCTTTCTCATGTAAAGTGTTTCCTATTATCTTTACTGTCCTGGTCCTCTTCAAACTGGTGAGATTCAGTTTATCTGTCTCCCTTAAATGTGGTGTTCCCAATTGACTAAAACATTGTCCCAGCTATCACACCAATACAATAACAATGAAACTTTTAACTCATAATTGGAAAAATGGCTTGCTAAAACTAATGAGAAGTTTGGTGTTGCCTTCATTAAACTTCTTAGTGTTTTGATGTCTGGCTCTTCTTGGCTCTTCTACAAAAGGAATTATCTAGTCCTTATACTTTTATCTGATTATGATTATGAGGATAATCATGATGGTGATGATGAAACTATACATTCTTCTCCAAACCTACGTTTTAAATTAACTATTTGTTTATTTATCTATTTTCCTTATGGAACCTTGGGAATTCGATTTGAGAGAAAACCACGATCTTTAGATCTCTGGTATTTAATGAATAAGCAGATCAGCAAATAAAATTCAAATTTTAAATGCTCAAGACCTGGCATATTACTTCCAAATGCTTTGTAGGAAGATTTCTAGTCAGAAAACCCTTTCTAATAATTTATCTAAAATAAGGAAAAGCATCTACAAACTACTTCTGTTATACAAATTCAGTGTATGAAAATAACAAGATTTTGTTCTTTCAGCACAAAACACAAAATGATTTTAAGGATCACTTATATAATGCCATGTACATTGGTACAAATAATTTGCCAAGCATATTCAAAAATGCAGATTTCAATATCTTATATTTAGGACTACACTAAAAAGTATTGAATACTTCCCCAACTAAAATTGTTAGAAGTTTCTCTGAGAAATTATTTCTTTGCAAAAAAAAAAAAAAGTATTTGTCTTAATTTACAGATCAAAAGCAGAGATTAATACAGATTTTAATTAATACAGAAATCTCCCTCTGTAAATGTCTCTAAAGAAATAATGTTTGTATTAATAAGTTAGAGATGAGATTTTTAAAAATTGCATCAGAACATTTACAGATGGAAGAAAATTTAGATTTTTAAGAACCATCTGTTGATGAAAACTCTAAACTTACTATTGGCACTTGTTTCAGGATAAATCTTTTCAATTTGATATCTATTTTTAGCAAAGCAATTTCATAAAATTCTGCCTATACCGAGTGTTTGAGAGAAAAATGAGAATATTATCTTCAGTAATATTAGAGATACTGAATGTCCTAATGACAGAGTTCTATCTTAATTTTTTATCCTTGATAAGGAAATTATTTTTCCACATTCAGGTAATGGCTACAGAATGCCAAACTAATTATCTAATTAAATTAATTTGATGAATTTAGAAAAATTTAAAATTTTTTAAAAGATGCATACTTAATGTCATTTACAAAAAATCAACAGAAAACATGTTGGGAAAAGTATAAGGGCGAGCCACACCCCAGAGAAAAACCCAACATGGCGCCTAACTACCTTCTTTCCCCTTTTTTCACTGGCCAGAAAAGTTCCCGAGGGTTGAACTCTCCCCCGGCGCCAATTTCAAATCTTGCTGGCAGGGAACCTTAGCCCCAATAAGAACTAATTCCTGGGCTCCAGAACTGATATTTGGAAGAACTTGCCAATAAACGGGTGGCCTGCCATTTATCTAAGCCCCGCCATCTCTCCTTAGATCTATATAAGCACACAGCCTTTTGCAATAAAATTGGAATTCTCCCGGCAAAGTGTCTTTTGTGGAGGATTCTTTCAAAACAAAAATAAAACTAAACTATCTTT